TGAAGTGGAAGTGAAAGCGGAGCAGTAGGACGTCCGTCTTTCTTTTTGCTTAGAACGCTCATAGATGTTTAGTTTATAAACGTTAGCTTATATTGACGTTCGGTTATTAATTTTGTAAAACCGTTCGTCCAAATCCCTTGTATATGCGCACTTAAGCCGTTCGTTTTAGACTCCCACTGTATACGTTTTATGAGCGTTGCTTTTGTATTGAAGTCGTTCGGCTTTTGAACTCTGTTATTTATGAAGACTGCATTGTTTACTGTTAATTGTAATTAATTCTGATTTATGGTAATTACTGTATTTTGGGATGTTACATGTTACAACTAATTTAATGTGATTATACATTAATATTGATTAAAAAAACTATTAAAAAAACTTCTCCCTAATATTTAAGCTAACAAGAAGTTAGAAAATTTAAAAACAAGAGTCAAAGCTTTACAGAATAGATTGAAAAAAAAAGTTTAAGTGTGATTAAGAAATAACTTAGAAAAAGGAACAATAATAACACGCTCCGCTCTCTCATTTTCCCTTATATAACGCGCAACATCCGCTTTGTTTGGTCAGAAAAGGAACTAAGATGTAATGAAAAAATGATAATTGAGTTGGATTTAGACAACAAATAAAAAATGGTAATTGAGTTCCTAACTTTATATATTTATATATATATATATATATATATATATATATATTTCCTTTTTTGTTCAAAATGATTGAAACTAAACAGATTTAAATTTACATATTAATTAAATGGAGATAAAAAAAATAGTATTATTTGTAAGAACTAGGATAGATAAATGCTTAGCGTAAAGATTAACACGTGGACGGTTGTACCCTTTCAAGGTAAACGACTTCAATACTTATTTATATACTATTATTCAATGAAGTGAGTGGTAATTCAATATTCTTTAAACTGACACTTAAAAAAAATGATCAAACGAAGGCCATTAGCGTAATTGTGAACCACCGCACCAACCAACTCAATTCAGTTACTCACTGAAACCTTCCACCGACCGCGGCCATGGCTGCGCTGTCCTCCGCCATTGCTTCCGCCGCCAAACCCTTCTCGCTGCCCCAAACCCGCTGCGCCGGAGTGGCGGCGCTCCACTTTCCCAAACCTCACTTCAAGAAGAAGGAATTCAACTTCGCCGAAGTTTCACTCTCACTCCGTTCTCTTCCCCGTCTTCGTGTTTCCTCCAACGATGCTCACTTCAACTCGAGGTCCGAGGAGAGCCAACAGCCACAGCCGAGTTTCGCAGAGTTCATCACTTCGGAGAGAGTCAAAGTGGTGTCCATGCTGGCCCTCGCCCTTGCCCTCTGCAACGCCGATCGCGTCGTCATGTCCGTAGTCATCGTGCCATTGTCCCTTGCCAACGGGTGGAGCCGAGCCTTCGCCGGAATCGTCCAGGTTCTGCACGCCAACTGTTTGAAGAATTGACTCTGATATATTGTTATTTTGGGTTCTTGATGTTATAAATTTTATGGGCATGCAAATCTTTTGACTCTCAACTGACTGTAAATAATCCTTGGCATCACTTGTTGAAAGTTACACACATCGACTAGGCCAATTTATAGTATATAAATAGAATAAACTTTTCTTTACAAATTAATTTTATAACAATTTATGGCATATAAATGAAACAAACTTTAGTTTGCAAATTAATTTTATAAGATTGAATTAAACTTTCAGTTCATAACATAAATATCGGATATCCGAGTCATGTCTTAGAGTATATTGTTCCAATGTTATATGCTATTAGTCGTAATTAGATTTTCTATTAATGTTTGGAAATAGGTGTGTTGAAAGTATCACATTAACTAAATTGACTAAAGATAGGATCAATTTGTAGGTTTTTAATTAAAATCGATAGATGTATTTATGAGTTTGTGTGATTTGTTTGCAGAGTAACACTTTATTCTGATTTTATTGTGGGGTTGGTTTGTGGTGATGTAGTCGTCTTTTTTGTGGGGGTATCTGGCTTCTCCTATAGTTGGAGGGATGTTGGTGGATAACTACGGTGGCAAAGTGGTAATGGCTTGGGGAGTGGCCTTGTGGTCACTTGCTACTTTTCTTACGCCTTGGGCTGCTCAGACCTCTCTCTTGGCTCTCCTAGTCGTTCGTGCTATGCTTGGCGCTGCTGAAGGTGTCGCTCTTCCTTCCATGAATAACATGGTTGCCAGGTAAGGTGACTCTTTACAAACTTGATTTTGGTCAATGTTGTGTCTGAAGCAAAGCGATTAATGTTTGGAAAGCTTTCTTTATCTCAAAAGACTTGTTTGTAGCAAAGACTAGTGTAAATTGCATAATTCAGAGCACCAAACATGAGTTTGAAAACGGCACTGTGAAACTGAAACCAAATACAGCGCTCGTTTTATGCCTTCTGCTGCACAACTTTCGTTGAGCTGGTAGTTATAATGTTATAATACTATGGTTATGTTATGATTTACGAGTTTTTATCTTTTGTCATGGCATTAAAGGGGCTTTGCTTGTCTCTTTGTCGTGATTGTGTGAACTATGAAGTTGCTGGATTGAGAAAGGCTTGATATTTGATGTCTAACATGAGCTTATCGGAAAAGGCTTTATATTTATAATGATTGGTTTTGGTTCTTTGTTTAAGATGGTTTCCAAAAACAGAACGATCAAGGGCTGTCGGAATCTCGATGGCTGGGTTTCAGCTTGGATGTGCAATAGGGCTCACACTTTCTCCCATTCTCATGTCGCAAGGTGGTATATTTAGTCCCTTTGTGATTTTTGGACTGTCTGGTTTTCTTTGGGTGTTGGTGTGGTTGTCAGCAACGTCTAGCACTCCTGACCGGAGTCCTCAAATATCAAAATATGAGCTGGAGTATATATTAAATAGAAGGCAGACGTCTTTTCCAGTGGAGACATCTAAGTCCAAGAAAGTTAAAGTGGTCCCTCCTTTCAGGCGCTTGCTTTCAAAGCTGCCAACATGGTCTCTGATCGTTGCTAATGCCATGCACAGTTGGGTAATGTTTCATACTCCGGCATTTGTTTAGTTGTTACTGGTGCTCTAAATTGGAGTTGTTAATTGTCATGTTTGATGGCAAATTGTCATTTATCATGTTGCAATTCGGATCACATATCTTGTTGCAATTTCCATGTGGCAATCTAACCTTCAGTTCCCAGTCTAGCCACATCATGTGGCTTCTTATTTGTTTCCCATTTTGTTTTTTTTTTCCTATTCACAGGGTTTTTTTATTGTTCTTTCATGGATGCCCATATACTTCAGCTCGGTAAGTTCTGTCTTATTTAGTTTTGTGAATGATAAAAATATTTAGAAATAAACACTCATGTATAAATGGCTTTACATTGTAGGTGTATCGTGTGGATCTCAGACATGCAGCATGGTTTAGTGCAGTTCCATGGGCTGTGATGGCTATCATGAATTACCTTGCTGGTTTGTGGTCGGATATGATGATACAAAGTGGTATAAGTGTCACTTTGACTCGGAAGATTATGCAGGTATGTTGCATTGCATACATTATAAAGAGAGAAGAGACATAGAACATATTGCATTTCTACAAGGGCAGACTTTAAATTTATGCCTTCTAATAGATTGCAAATGAATTGTGAATTATCGGTAACAAATTTCTATTTCTAATTTAGTTAAAAGCTATATTTCCCTATTGTATTAATGTCACGACTCATTGCAAACTGCTCCCGGATTTTTGGGAGAATGAGATACGCCAACCCAAGTGACCCTTTAGGAATTGAAACAGAAAAACCACAGTGAGTGATTATTTGGACATTATGCATAAATCATTCTAGGCTGACCCTATCTGAATTTCTTCCAATATCTTTATTGTTTTTCATCCTTTCAATGTATTTTTTTTGTGTGTGTTTGTATCTTTTAAAGCGTAAGATCATTGAGAAGTATCAGTTAAGTACTAGTTTGTCCTTGCTGTTTGGAGGCAGAAGATATAGGACAGGTGTCAATGGATGAGTGGAGAGAGAAAGAGGGAATTATCCTTTGTTGTTTCAGTTTTTATCTGAATCTCATAGTTCTCTATTCTTTCCAATTAAAAAAAATTAAAATTATATGTTATGCTATTTTTTAGGAAAATAAAAGTCATGTTGACTAGTAGAATTTATTTGCTATTTTCTAGGCACTAAGAGCACTAGTTTGTTAGTGGTTATAGAGGCCAACATTTTCATACATTTACGTTCACTTATTTGCTTTATAAAAGCAATTGCACTCCAAAAATTAATATTAAGCAGTTTTATATTCCTCGTTCCACTCTCTCATTTTTCTCTGTTCCACTTTCTCAACCTTCCATTCAATAAAATAACCAACAAAATCTCATAGTTCTCTATTCTTTCCTATTTCTGGTTTTGGATGGTGCCCAATTGTGTCATTTGATTAATGTAGTTGACCCCATTTAGTGGGTAAAAGCTTTGATTGTCTTCTTATTGTAGTTATCTTAATTTTCTCAACTCGTATCCTAGTTTGAACTTGGTTGTTCTCACTATGTATTAGTTTACAATGTAATGTTTGTGAGCACATTCGCTGCAGACCATTGGTTTTGTTGGTCCTGGACTCTGCCTCATTGGCTTAGCGACAGCAAAAAGCCCCTCAGTTGGCTCTGCTTGGCTTACTTTAGCTTTTGGCCTGAAATCTTTCAGTCACTCTGGCTTTCTTGTGAACCTTCAGGTTTTCTACTTTATGTCAAACAATTTTTTTTTGTTAGTAGTTCCCTCTCCTAATATAATGTCCATTTCCTTTGTCATCACAGGAGATTGCACCACAGTACTCTGGTGTTTTGCATGGTATGCTTTCATCTTGTGGTAAATGTATTGTATATGTTTTGTTACATTCAATAAAATTAGTAGCACATTTTTATCAGGAAATACATTTGAAATCGTTTGGAGCCTGTATTGTGTTATCCTTATTAATGATGTGTTGTAAAAGGTACTATTTAACTAGCAAAGGAATTAGTTGAAGAAATTTTCTTGTGCTATTTATTTAATCTATTGAGCTATAATTGGCCAAGCTCTGCTGTAGATGTATAAAGCACGCACTTCATGAAAGTTTCATGTTGCTTGGATGGATGCAAGACCTGGAATTGGATAGATTGGACTTTGACTTTTAACATTCAAAGGAATTTTAATGCTAGGTAGTGGTCTTTTAACATATATGGCAAAAATAGGGTAAAATATGTGCACAATCTGTCAAATGCTGGGAAAATATTTGTCTGTGTGATTCACAATTAGATTTCTTATAATGAAGACCTCTTGATTTCTTATTGTAGGAATATCGAATACTGCTGGAACATTGGCTGCTATTATAGGAACAGTTGGAGCTGGGTTTTTTGTTGAGCTAGTCGGTTCCTTCCCAGGATTTTTGTTGCTTACATCGTTCCTTTATTTTCTTGCTGCTCTTTTCTACTGCCTATTCTCTACTGGAGAAAGAGTAAATTTTGATGATCCTGGTGAGTATAAATATACGTAGATTTGCTTTTCAACTTGCATATATGTTTAGAACTTTTTCCTGCCGTATTAGTGTTGCTTTTGTGGACACTGGTACATCCCCTGTGTAGTCTTGTTTGTAAGTCTCGAAAACTAAAACGAATATAGGGAGGATATAAAGAAAAATAGTATTGTGTGAGGAAAAAATATTGGATCTAACATAAATAGTCAAGATTAAACCATTAGGAAATGTGATATTTTATGTTAGTAATTGGACTTTAAGCCTAACTCATCTTCGGTGTATAAAACTAATATAAGGAGGATATAAAGTAAATAATATTGTTTGAGGAAAAAATATTGGATCTAACATAAATAGTCAAGATTAAACCATTAGAAAATGTGGCCTTTTATGTTAGGATTTAACTTTAAGCTTAATTCAACTTCACAAAATAGTTTGTAAAGTGAGGTTTGCATCCATTTATATATTGTGAATTGGTATTATCTCTAGTCAACGTGAGACTTCCAACACAACTCCGGCAAGGCATATGCATCTTGTGAGTAGAACTAGACATTAATGGATGATCTGGTAGAATAATAGACTCAACAAATAACAAATTTCATTAAGATAAGTTCTAACCCATGGATTTCAATAGGATAATCTCTAAACTTGATTATGATACCATGTTAAGAATGAATTATAAACCTAACTCAATCATCCAAAATTGGCTTGTAAGATGATGTTTGTACCATTTATATATTATAAAATCAGCTTATCTCTAGTCAATGTAGAATCTCCAACATTTTATACTACACTTAATTTGTTTCATCTGTATAACTTGCATGGTTTAAGATTTATTTTGCTCACTTACGATAAATAAATCCTCCCTGAGTGAATATGCTCTCTCTATAATTTACGTTTTACAAAGTATTCTTTTGTATGTTAAAATAAATTTTAGAATTTTAATTTTGTTATAGTAAATGCTGAACTCTTGTTAATTTGTAAATTGCTGATGAGATGTATTTCAAACTCTCATAGCTGTTGTCTGAGAGTGGTGGAAGTTACTGTATCATGTACAGTTCAATTTCTTGTATGCCAAAGGAGATAGCCGAAGAATGACAGAGATGGTTACGTGTTCTAACCATCACGGTTGTGAAGTGTAAAACAGATACTAACCATCTACATAGTGTAAAATGATCTATATATAGTTTGCTTTTTGCTTTCCCATTTGTATTGACATAAAGCATTTGGAGTTTTTAGGTTTTTTGTGTTCCGAGAATGAATTTAGAAAAAGAGAAGAAAAAAAGTACAGTAAAAAGGTTTATTTTCTGATCTTGCTCATCATGGAGTCCATTTTTGTGCTTTGCACTCCCTAAGGCTGTGTTTGCCCGTCTAAACATTTATAGACACTATTAGTACATAAACATTTATAGACACTATTAGTACATAAACATTTATAGACACTATTAGTACATAAACATTTATAGACACTAGTAGTTTATAACATTCTATTATTTTTCTGTTCCTATTCTTAATACTTTAAAATAATAAAATAAAACTCTCCCCTTCTCTCTTAATGGACAATAAACCTTAACCGTATTGTTTATTTTAAATTTTTATAAGAATTTGCAAATTGAACTAATAATTAAAATGATATGACTTGAAAATATGTTTTAATCTATAAAATGAATGAAGTTACACAACAAAAAATCGTTTGTACATGTCTTGTTTTCTTTCGTTTAAGTAATTGAAAAATCGTTTTTGCCAAACATTTTAATGTAGTAAGCTTTTTTAATTAATTATGAATTAAGTGTTTTTATTGCATACATTTAATATTATGCGGTAGTTTAGTCACAAAGATGAAAAAGACTAAAATCATCTACCGTTCTTTAAGAAATAAGAAGCATGTTATTTCCCATCTACGGTTCTTGTTACAATGAGTGTCACGTTATACGGACTCTTCCAATAATAACTCAAAGAGAATTTCTTCCTGCATCCCATGTTTCCATTTTTCTGCACCCCCTACTTTTTAAAACATCAATTATACTTCTGCTAAAATTATAGTTTTGGATTATACAACATGTAACACAAATTTGAAATTACATTTTAGATTATTTATAATGCAAATTTATATTTCAAATACACAAATTTGAAATTACATTTTAGATTTTTTATAATGCAAATTTACAATTCAAATTATACGTTCCTTAATATAACTTTAGAATATAATTCAAAATATAAATTTACATTTCACAACAATGTACTATCATAATGTAAATTCTCAATAAAAACCCTAACCATGAAAGTTCAACGTTTTCTCTATCTATCCCAAATCACATGGTTTAAAGTGAGAGTCAGAATGACCCCTTGCTTGGCTCATACTCTTTTTTTTGTCACGTGTTATTCTTCCACTCCGAAGTTGCTTTTGGAAGAAGAAGTATCCACGATTGTTTCCAAAAACCTGTTAAGTACACACTTCTTAAAGGGGAAAGCTTGAACCTTTAATGTACTACCCATTTTTCATTAGTGTTTGAGTAATGGAATCGACTTTTTATGTCGTTTTGCATCTCCCATGAAGTGGAGAAGATTGTTTCGCTATCGGAGTATTTTTCTTTAACTGGATTTTCAGTGTAGGGTGATGAAGGAGGCACTCGTGGGGGAATAGATGACAACACACAACAACGACAGTGTTGTTCTTCCATCCAATAAATGAACCAAATAGGAACAAGAAGAAGAAACACAATGAAATACATCTCAATAAATACTTAGTTTTAAACTCGTGTTTACACACTAGTAGGTGTTTGGTTGTGTGTTTATTAAAATGCATTTAGAAATTGATGAAAAAATTAATAATTATTTTTAAATTTATAATTAAGTTTTGAATAGAACTTAATGTAACAAATGATTTATAAGTCTAGTAAATCTATATATATATATATATATATAT